CTCCCCTCCTCTCCTGTCCCCTCCTCTCCTCTCCCCTCCCCTCTTCTCTCTCTCTCTCTCTCTTCTGGTCCTTTTATTTCTTTCCATTCTCAGGCCAGTCATTAGGCTTAACCACTTTGCAGTTAGCCAGTTTTTCTGACAGTTAACATACATCTATATTGTCATTCAGTCAAAAGGACACTGAGAATATCTCTCAAAGTCATTTAAGTCATAGTTCTAAGGCCCTGCAAAGCTTTACTTGCTCCTTCCTAACTGTCTTGCTTCAAATTAAAACTCTTGTAAATAGGATGGGAGAGTTGTAAAAGATGCCAGAAATACTTTAAACATTACAGGTAACAAAACTGACTCAGAGATATTCAGATACTTCTTCATGACCACCATAGGCTTTTAGGGACCTTGCTCTTTCCAATTTGCTCTTTTCAACTTACATCCCAAATTTCTTCTCTCTAGTACCTCCTCTATTCATATAAACTCTCCGTCCAAAACAGCTTTCTGTTAAAAACTGGTCATTTCATCTTCTCAGACCCTCACAATGACCCTTGCCTGGCAACACAGATCTTTCCAGAAAGTTTCATTGTTGGGTTTTGGTAGCTACAACTGATCAAAGTTGGAACTCTTCTGCAAGCTCAGACAGCTAACCAGGAGCCCTGCTGTACAATGCTGTCCTCACTCCTGCCTCTGCTGAGAGGCACTGGATCACTGGTCAAGAGGGAACCACGGGTAAAATGTGTTCTCAGATACAAATGACTTTGAAACTGCAGGCCTAATCACATCCCCAACAGCTGAGTGCGTATACAGGTAGGTACACATATGCATGTGTGTATCTCACAGACATGAAGAAGTATCTATAATAAATATGTACATATTTTAGTATGTCATAAAACTTCTTATGCCCAGATTCCATGCATAAGAACTTTACTTTTGTTGATAAGTTCCTGTCAACCAAAATGCAATGCATACATACATAGCATTTTCTTATTTTTCCTATTCTCTGAAAACCTTTCCTCCTGCCTGTGGTTTTTTCTCCAAATTTTCACTTATCTTTGATCTTCGTCCTTGATAAAAATGTATCTTGCCATCTCTGTTACCTTTCTTTTTTTAATTTATTTTAAAAATAAAAGAAGGAAAACACATTAACAAACAGACAACCATTTACAAAATAGCAAAAGAACGATACAAACAGTACAGAGTTACAGACAAAGTGGTAGGAAATTAACAATGCTTGCTGTATTACGTATTGATATCTCTGTTACCTTTCTGAAAATTCTACTCAGGTCATTTCTTCTGGTAAAATGACAGAATTAGATCGGTCATGGCCGTGCAGGTAAGCGAAGAAGAAAGGGTCTACTGGGCAATGGCGGGCTGATCTAAGAGCACTACGCCATACATGACAACGGGCACAGCCACCCAGGCAGAGACTGGTGTGCAGAGTCCTCAGAGGAAGAGTCTTGTCTGGGGGAGATCCAGGAACATGTGTCAGACTATGTAACTAGCAAGGGAGAAAGTTACAGACTTGCCAAATCACTTATTTTGTCCCTACTTAAGGAACATTAAAAGAGAGGGGAAGTAAGGCACTAAGTAGACTCTGGTGAGGAAGAGAGAATGGGAGAATAAAGCATGAATTATATTTTGAGACACCCTGAGGTATGGGAGAGAACCCCCCATTTCCACTCACTTGGAATGGCTCTGAATCACTATAATTTCACCTGTGGGCCACCTCCACTGACGGCTGTGCCTTCTATTTTAATTTTGAAATTCAGTTCTTCTTTTGCCAGTCTTGGCACAACCTTCTGGGTATGTTCTGAAGCCTGACTCACAGCACTCCCCGAAGGCCAAACCACTTCAGTATTCTATTCAGTTAGTGCTCTGCCCCCCTACCTAATGGATATTCTCAGACTGATATGCAAGATCAGGCCACAGGTCATCTGAGAAGGTGAAGAATTCCAGCCAAGACACTCAGCAAGGAAAACACTGAGACCACGTGAGAGGCCTAAGGGAGAATGCAAGGAGTCTAAAAACTTAGCTGCCAAAGTTTTACTTAATCTAAAAGAGCCTCCTGATTAGACAGCACCATTGTTTCCATGAACAAGCACGACTAAAATGCTTGCTAAAGGGCCCAGACCTGCAAGGGGTGAGGGGGACAGGGAAGGATGTAAACAAACTCTAGGAGCATCCTGAGGAATAAACATTTGCCTTTAGGATTCAGATGCTAGAAGAGATGATGGAGGAAAGTAATCTCATCAACATTTCAATAAATTATTGAAAAATCACCCTGTAGACAAACTTGTGCACTCAATTGATTTTATTTTATTTTTTTCACAAAATACAAACCTTTGCACTACAATATAGTAGTGTTCTAGCACAAGAAAATTCTAAAGTGTTCATGGTGGGGAGAAGGTTATACAATATTTTTTTCATTCTTAAAATTAATTGTAAATAAAATGTCACAATAAAGTATGCTGGACTTGTACAACATGCAGATTATTGCTTAGAACTTGCATATACTTTAAAGTGGCACACATACAAATAAAATGTATAAATATGTCAAAGTTTTTAACGAAGATACCAAAGGACATTTATTATCAGTTCAGATAAAGCATAACTGAAAATCAAAGTAAAGGATACTAAATTGTATTCTAATTACTGATGTCTTAGTAACAAGGATTTATAAATTATCTAGTTTTATGTTTTGTAAATAAAGTTCTTCAGCATTATGGAAATTATAAAGTATATTCTCAAAATGTTAAGTGTATTTTGAGAGACTTCCAAAAACTTTAGCAATTATTATTATATAGTCTCAAAGAACTATATATATATACATATATATGTATATATATAATCACTATAGCTATTGCATGTACTGCAGTTTTCAAGTAGATTTTCCAATAAAATCTAAATGGCATTATTATTACAAATTCTAACAATCACCAAAAAATAATAACTTATCCCAATATAATTATTATCGCACAAAAGTCTGTTAAGTAAAAAACAGACATAATCATACCAGCAACAAAACAAGCAAGAAACAAAAGTACACAGCACATTTTATCCACAAATATATTTTTAGGTTTCATTAACCAGAAGTAGCAAGTAAATAATGCACATTTCACTACAGAATTACAGAAAAATATAAAGAAAAAATACAGATGATGTTTAACAAGTTTTCAGCCAGAGGTATTATACTTATAAATCTTTGAGATTTAGAAATGTTTCTCATTATTTTTGGTCTTGCATATAGGGTCTGATATTAAAACTCTGCAGCTCAGAGTAAGTGTAAACATTTTAATGCAAACAAATCAATCTTTAGGAGCTGCCTACAAATCTTTACTGGTATGCAAAATATTGTCCAATCAAGGTATGGTATTATCAAAGCAAGCAGAGGCTGTTTGAAGTCTGGGTGAGGACAGAGCAGCGCTCAAGTCCTTGGATGTTTAACTCTTGGAAACACCAAATAACCCATTAGCTAATAAGCTTGTTTTTAGAGAAGTATTACCAGAACAAACTTCTATTGAAGAGCAGTATTCTAAAATAATTCTGCTGACGCCACACACCCCACCCCACCTCCTAACAGCTCAATGCCCTACTCCCCTCTGCTGATATGGGGTCTAAGAACATTCACATAATTTACATGCCTACAATAAACCCCAGCTTAAACACTACACAACTCATTGCTCAACCAACTTAAGAAAGAGTGATAACACATGTTTCTAAATAAAATCATAATTAGCTTTGCTTTGTATTGTAAACAGGTATTACTAAATATTGAATCACTTCCTGTAGCCTCTGAATTGCGGTTTACTAAATTTACAACAATGCTTTTTTCAAGGAGAACCAATTTGTGAACATTTAACCTTGCTACAAGAGACTTAAAAGATTACAGATGTATGGAACATCTCAGAAGTTAATATAGAAAGGTGTTGGCCTATTGCAGAGAGGCACTGATGAAGTCTGGTGTATCAGGCATAAGAAATGGAAGGACTGGAGGGATTTAGAAAACTTCTAGATTGAAGTTTTCATCTTTTAAGGGAAAAGCAGTCTGGGTGTCTCCTCCAAATCCTGAAGGCTTTTCTCGTTGCTACAAATATCACATGTGTTTTGTATCAGATTTCTCTTTCAGTAGCTGTAGTGTAAGCCAGCTGTGGTTAAGGCCGGGAGGCGTGGGTGCCTCCAGATGTGCGCATAAGGAAGCAGGTCTCACTACTGCACTGGCTCCTGCTTGTTGAAGACACTGTGCCACTCTTCTGATAAAGTGATATGTTAGCCTCTTATGGACTCAAAAGACACAAATACATGGGCTTGTATATGTTTTTCAATTTCATTCACAACTGACTAGAGTACTTAAAGTCAACTCAGAAGCGTATTTACATATTTGGAGCTGGGAGCAACATAAAAATCAAAATTTGTTCAAACATTTAATAGGGCCTTTTGGAACATGTTTATTTCCCTTAAAAATGAAACAGCAGAAACATGTACATTATTGTCACACTTCTGCTCTGTGTCTCCATGAGAAGCTTGCTAAATGCAGGATAGCACAGTGCCACTGACAGTAAACCTGGCTCTCCACCCGTGAAGCCCAGGGTCCACCCAGGTGCCCAGTGTGTCTCAGAGAAAGAACACAATTTAAAAACTGACACCAGAGTAAAATTGGACTTGAGTCAACTATTAAATTTTTAAAAAGAACTTCATTCAAATGCTTACAAACTAGACAGTTATTAAAACTTTTAAGACAATACTGGGTCATGTGAAATATATCAAAGTCACTCAAAGGTCATGATATAACTCATTTCTCATAACATGGAACTAGTCTATGAAATAAAGTAATGGAATAAAAAATTGTTAACACATATGGGGTACTTTAAGTTAATTTGCACTCATATACAACTCCATTTTGAGTTGTAAATAAATGCAAAGAATCCTCAAGGTTTAGATATAAGAATGCAGACTGTAAACTCAGGCTCATAATTTTTAAATTCTCACAAAATATTTAATGCAAGATCTATGCTACTAGTTGATTTTCATTCTTTGTAAGTTTCACAATAACTTATTTTCTAGAATACTACTCATTCAGGTTATTACTAATCTTTTCTAGAAAAATAGAATTGCTTAAAAATGTATGCCAATTTGCTTTTATTTTCTACAAATAATTTATTAGTGTTGTTAAATACCATAATGCCTAATATAATCATTTGTTAATCCATGTATCCAAAATACTTAATGTTTAAAATTTCTAGCAAGTCTGTCATTTAATAAATGAAAAATTCATTGTTTAATAAATGATATATTCTGCCTTTATTTGTGTTTTAGGTAGATGGATAAAATCACAGAACAGCAAAGTAAAGCTCCTGTAAAGATCTGACTTAAAGAACCATGGCTGTTTATAGTAACATTTCCATTTCATTGCTATTGTATGAAGAAACATATATAACCTACTTTTATACACTAAGTTTGAATGCTGGATTAACTGTATGCATCCAGCATAAATTAGGGATTGAAGACTAAGGAAATAACAAGTATTTGTTTAAAACTGTGCTATTTTAAATACAGGATTAGCGAGCATCTATACCATCAGTGAAAGGTAATGTGAATGAAAGTAAAAATGAAGTTTCAAGCATCAAACAACTATTGAAACTACTACATGGAAACTCACCAACAAAGCTTTACGTTGTATCATTGGATAATGGATTTAAAATCTGTGTTTAGAATTGTAGAAATATCCAAGGAGTCAAAAATGTTTATTTCAAGGTTTATTTTTGAAAAGGAATGAATTTCCAAAATAGTTTTATAATATAAATGTTTTCCTTTTTTAAAAAGCCACTTTTCTTGCAAAAGAGCATAAACAAGATAAAATCAACTTCTTTCCTATGCCCTCACCCTCTAGACGTCCAGTACATACTTATGACTATAATGTGGACATCAATAAATTTAATGATCCATTATCAATATTAATATTAGCTGCTTTACAAACAAATACTTGTATTTTACATTATTTGTCAAAAATAAATGTACCTGTTAGAGGCCAATCAACCCATTTCATCATTTAGTTATTGGCTGAGACTTCAATTCCCATCTTTAAATGTTCTAGAACTTACCAGGCTCTACCCACACTGGACAATCAAGCCAAATCGAATTAAAAGTCTTGATTACATTCAGCTAGCCTCCTTTCATCATCATAACACAAACAATGGAAATGAATCAAACATTTCCCTTCAAACTGGGAAACCTAGTGAATTAAATCTTTTCAGTGGGGTTCAGTTAAGTTTAAGTATTTATAACTAGTTGAGTTAAATTTTTTTCCTTAGGTTAAGAGCAATCATTAAAGTCAAATATTTGAGAAAAATAAATAAAGGCAACAAGAGATAAATATTTCTATATTAGGACTGCAAAAACCAGAGCAAACACATACACACACTCATTTATTTTCATGTAAGACAATAATTTTTATAACCAGAATACTTGGATTAAAATACCTTATTCCTTCCTGCTCTTTCAAGAAACACAGTGCAAAGCACTCAAAGTGTTAAATAAGCAAGTGTGAGTGTAAACTGGGAAAACATGAATACTGAATATTTTGTCATTTCGGTCTCATCAAGAAGAGGCCTAGTTTAGGAGCATGACAAAAATGTACTGCGTAAGACTGTACTGATGATGTCAGGTTCTGAACCCAGGGGAGGTTTTGCAAATAGAAATAATACATTTTTCTTAGAAAAATGAAAAGGAAGCAGACAACAGTGTTAAAACAGTGTTTCTTAATTATTTCTTCTACAGTACTAGCCTAGGCCCCGGGGGTGAACCTGCAGCACGCATGCCACCGCGTGGTCTGTATCACTGAAAGCTCTAAAAGGCTCACCATCACTCACCTAGTCACTTATCAATGTGCACTCTTAGAAGAGTCTCATCCTTAAAGGAGGTCCATAGCATCTGCCTTAAGCCTTACTATAAAATAAAAAAAAATAAGTTGATAAAATATCAAAATAGAAATAAGTGACATTTAAAAAATCTTAAAATGCAGTAAGTATATTAAATGACCAAACTAATGAAAAATCCTCAAAGTGAGTAAAATACTTCATCACTAATAGATGATTGCATATCTAAAATAGAAAATGTCATTTTTAATAGTCTGGGGGGAAGATCATGTCAATAATTTGGAAATAAAACCCTACATAGGTGTTGACATAAGAAAAGAGTACAATGCAAAAAAATGTTGAGAGTTATTTACAGGTTTAAAAGTAGTCATTATCTTTTCACCAAAAATGGTAGCACACCAAGTGCACCAAATTATCACAGTCATCTTTCCACAGAGAAAAATACTAAAGCAGGCTATGAGATTTCTGAAAAGATTCACCACTAGTATCTATAATTTTCATTTAAAATTTTAAGATTTTATCCATGCTTATAATGCAGAAGAAAAGAGAAAATCTTGGGATGAGGACTAAATTTTAGTTTCTTCTAAAAAGAAGAAAATATGACACTGAAACCCTGAATAACAACTATAATTCATATGGAAGCACAAGAACATGCCATTTCATCCTATTAGTAGATATAATGCTGGGTAGTAATGAAGATTGCTTATCTAAACAAAGGTGTCTGACAAACCTCACCTTTAATCAAGTTTTCCATTCTGAAGACTATTATTGGCTTTCTCTTGTCTGAGGAGAGAGATGACTTTTATGCACCCTTTATAGATTTTTATCATCCACATGACATTCATCACATCCAAAACAATGCAAGTAGAGACCCAGGAATACTGGATTACAAATCCCAGCCTGATGAAGGGCTCTGTTCCATAGACGGAATACAAGAAGCTGTAGTAAGGAGGTATTACAGCAATCCGCACGATGAAGAACACCACTGTCATGAGAATTCCATTGACGACATTCGCTTTGGAAAACTTAGGGTACTTCAGAGCTTCAAAGAACCACCTGAAAAGAGAATTAGAGAAACATCACCTTTATTCTACAACACTGGAAATTAACCATCCCATTTTCATTTTTTAATTTATTTAGAAGTCAGGCAACACCCCCTCATAGTTTATATGGAGGCAAAGGGCCTAAGATAGCCAACCCAATACCAAAAAGTACAAAGTTACAGAACTCACTACCCAATTCAAAAACTTACTATAAAGCTACAGTAATCAAAATAGCGTGGCAAAAATATAGAAAATATAGAAAAATCTATCAATGAACAGAACAAAAAGCTCAGAAATGGACTCAAATATATTCAACCGATTTTTGACAAAAGTGCAAAGGCAATTCAATGGAGGAAGAATATCTTTTTTATAAACTGCAAAACTGTACATCCATATGTAGAAAAATAAACTTAAGTAGGGACCTTATACCTCACATAGAAATTCAAAGTAGATTAAAGGTCTCCATGTAAAACACACTATAAAACTTCCAGAAGAAAGCAGGAAAGAAATCTGCATGATTTCAGGTTCAGTGATGGTTTTTTGATATAGCACTAAAAGTGAATCAAGGAAGAAAAAATGATAAGTTTGACTTCACTAAAATTAAAAATTTGCTCTGTGAAACACACTGTTAACAGAATGAAAAGATAATCCCCTGGAAGAAAATATTTATAATATACACCTATGTTGAAGTATACCAAAATGTACAAAGAATTTTTAAGAGCCCCCCGCGCCTTGCGCCCAGACAGCGAGTTCTCCGGGAGCGGCAGGGCTCCTGGGTCCGAGTGTGGGCCGGGCTCATACCACCGCGATTCCCAGCTGAAACGCGTGCACAGAGCCAGGTAGGCCCCA